ATAATGAAGAAAACTGGCCAAAAGAAAAAATGGCATTAGGACTTGAAGGCTGGCCTTCAGCAACAACAGCAGAACTTGTAGCAATATGGTTGGCAATTTTGATTGTTTTAGAGAAGAAAAATATAGAAGTATATACAAATAGTCTTGCAGCACTAAAGAACATTAACAGAGCAATTTAAGGGTTAGAAGATGACAAAATTCTTAAGAAAAAAAATGCAATATAAATAATGAATATTGTAGATTTGGTCAAAAGCAAAAGTAACAGAATTGAGCTAGTTAAAGTTAAGAGTCACAGCAATGATAAGTGAAATGATAGAGCAGATGCACTTGCAAAGAAAGGAGCAACATGTAAAATAGCAATATTTATAAAGAAGATTAAGTATAACAGAATAGAGTACTATTTGAATTAGAAAAACAAACAAGTTGACATACCAACATGACTTCTCTGCAAAATAGTTGTGAATGCCAGAGTGAAAGCTAGCTAGAGAGATATGATCTAATTCAAGTATTAGAACCAGAAACAGAGAATACTCAATATAATTGGTCAAGCTTTTGAAAAAAAATGAATAGAACAAAAGGCATACACTGCATAACAAGAAAACTTAATACAAGAAGAATAACAGCAACTAAATGTATAATGGATAACCTACTAATACTAGAAGAATTAGACAGAAGAAGACCAGAAATATATATATTTTCAGATTGCCAAGTATGTCTAACAGTCAAGAAGAAAACTCAAGCATATTTGGCAAGCTGCAGTAAACAAAAGAGCCTGTAGAAGAGAATTCAAAAGATAGCAACAGTAATAGCATAAAATAGCCTTAAAAAGAATGAAAAAATCAGAATTCCACCTTAAATGTTATATGAAGCAACTTTTGGAAAAACAGAAGCAGAGGAAATTATTAACAGAAGAGCATTAATAAAAGGGCTAACTATGAACAAGGTTGAAAAAAGGATCAGTTAGATTCTAGATAAACAAGCAACACAGATATGCATAGAAATAATAACAAGAACAGTATAGAATACATTCTATGACCAAGTATAGAGAGTTTGATGTAAAAAAGTACAAGAATGGGAAAAGAAGATGAACATAAAAACAAAATGAAAAAAGGCACTTGAATTAAAAAAAAGCCAGAGAGAAGAACAAAAAAAAATAAATAAACAAAAGAAGAAAAAAACAAGAAAATAGAAAAGATAAATTGAATGAAGAAAGAAGCTTAGAAGACAATTGATATGCTTGTTACAAAAAAGGAAAAACCCTTCTAATATGGCTTTAAGTAGTTAGATGAGCAGTCTATCTTTAACTGAGATGGTGCAGCAGGTTGCACTTAGGTACCAATAGGGTGGCTGAGTGATGCTAGACTTAGGTATTGGGAAATTCTATATAATTATATATATAGTTTCAAGAATCTTAATAAAGTACTAGGTAACTGCTTAAGGTTTAAAAAAAACTATGAATATATTGTAAAAAAGAAATAATAGTTTGTAAATAAGGAAGCAGTAGTAGGTAGTTGTAAAATAGAATTGGATGTTGTCATAGTTTTTTTAGCTATAACAGTTTCATCATAGCCTTTTAAATAGTTTCTACTAATTAAGAATAAGTGTAGTCTAGTTTATTGTCTTTTATAATTGAATTAGTATTTAGCATATTGTTATTTATTGAAGAAAATTTAAAAAGAATGTGTATATATAAATAGTAGATGTAATCTAAAAATTGTAAAAAGAAATATTCAGGTAGAAGTTAAGACATAAATAATAAGTATATATAACATTTTCTATAGTTAAGTTTTATTAATATTTTAGGTATATAGTTAAAATTATTATGTTGTATAAAGTTGTATTGGTAAATGTGTTTTAAAAAGAAGTTGAGTGTTTATGAATATTGAAGTAGAGGTAGTTTTAGATATACTAGCCATTGGTTATAGCATAAGTCTGAATTATATAATGTATTGTAAGGTAGGTTTTGTAATGCTTCCTCGATGTGAGATAATAAAATGAAGTTTGAAGAAGTAAAAAGTTCTTTTGTAGTTTTGCCTACTATATGCTCAGCTTTCACAGTTGCAAAAAGTAGTATAGTCTATTCTGTACATTAAGTCTAGTTATCATTAGCTTGGTTCTCTGTATAAATAAACTTAATCACCTGTCTACTCACATCATTTTCTTCTAAAAATGGTCCATTATTAATAGAGGACATTGTAATTTTAGAAGTGATAGATGCTTTTATGAGTACTACAGAAGATTTATTGAAAAAGAACCTTTTCTTGAAGAGTAACTCCTCAATTAAAATAGGTATGTCAAATTTGATATTGAATTTGTTATTTAAGATTGTTTCTTTTTTTTTTTTGTATTAAAGTAGCAATTTTGCCTGTCTGTCTTTATTGAGTAATATATCATTATATAATTATATACAAAGTTTATCAATAAAAGTACAACTAGTCATATATATAACTTTAGTTATTATTTAATTATAGGTTTTGCCTAAGGGTTACTTACTAGCTGTCATACCTAAGATCTACCTGTGAATTCTCTATTTAAACTTTCTGGTTTTAATCTTATTGCATATATGCAATGCTTATATTACCACATAAATATACCAAGTTAGAGCTATCTAATTACTATTTATATCAAGGTACCACTATATTGGATATTACCAGATATTCATAGTTCCTTGAATTTACCCTCGACACAGACTTACTAAATATAGTACCCCTTAAATTTATCCAATTTAGTAAATCTTATATCTACTAGAACTGGTTTGGTGCCAGAAGTGTTTGAATTTTGGTAATTCTATTTCTTTTTTATAGTTTTCTTTTATGTTCATTATATTATCTGCTAGTGCACCTTCTCTTCATTTCTGGTATATTTTATACTTCTCTTACATTAAGCACTAACTTTCTATATCAGGAAACTTCTTTCTAGGAACTTTCTTATATACTGATCTTTTAATCACATAAACTTGGCTACAGAGCTTATATACATTCATATGCTTCAGTAGATTACAAAGTTTTTACCTCTAGTTGGAATTGAACTGTTGACTGTGTCTGTAGAGGAAGGTGCATCTAGGTCACTAGGCTATGGAACCCCATCTCTTCTAAGATTGTTTCTGCCTCTAGTAAGACTTTTTCTTTATAGAATTTAGTTATTTTAAAGTAATTTGGGAAGTTGTCTCATATGCAATTAAAGTATATAATAATTTGAGCTAAAAAATCAGTATTGATAAGTTTTGTTATAAGAAACTTGATGGCTTGTTGTTTATTCATTTTGTCAATATTGTGGTTTTGAGTAGCAGTGTTATAGTATATAGATAAGTATTGATTTAAAATTAGTTTTAATGACATTAGAAAAACAAGTATCCTTTTTTGCCTTTGTTGCTAGTTCATCAAGAGTTAAAGTAAAAATTGGTTTTGTAAATGTGGCTTTATGTTTGCCTTTAATATAGAATATGGATGCATCAGAAAAGGTTTATTCTATGTTTTAGTATCTTTTTTAAAATAGATTTTGTAAAATATTTCAAATATATCTTTAATAAGTGTAAATAAGTTGTATATAGGTTGTGATATAAAGATTTTTTTTAAGTTAGTATCAGTTTCTTTTGTTTTTCTTTTTGTATTAGTTAGTTCAAGATAAAGATATTTAAAATCTGTACAGATAAGTATTTGGTAATTAGCATGTTTAAAAGTTTTATAATATCATTTTTGAAGATTAGTTAGTTTTATAAATTTGATATTAGTTAGTAGAAAGTTTTTCAGATAAAGATAAAATGTTATCTGAATTCATATTTAAGGTAGTTAGATACTTTGGTTTTCTTAATTATATTAGAAAATTGGTGGCTATATAATAAAAAGGTTTTTTTAAACCATTTATTAAAATGACTAAGTAAGTTTTTAAGTAATAGTATATTATATTTGTCAACAAAAAAAAGATTTTTGAAGATTAAAATTCAGTTTGATATTGAATTAATTATCCATTTTGATAGAAAGATATTGTTGTTCTATGTCAAAGTCAGTAACCTTAGATGTTATCTTAAACCTTTTAGATCTAAGTTTGATATTTTCAGCAAATTTTGTATAGTTGATTGCTTGATAATTATTAGAAAGATATAAATGTAAACAAGCAAGATTAAGACAAAATTGTAAACAGCTTTTAGTTTTAATTAGTGAAATTGTAGCAGAAAAAGCAAATATTTTAGGATAATTGAGTTTATTGAAGAAGACTGTTGTAAATATATGAATAAGTTTTTTAAAACTTTTTTCTAAAATATTAAAAGGAATTGTTGCGGCTTTATCTGCTTCAGAGTTGTGTTTTTGAATTAGATTAATAAAATATTTTGGTCTGATACTAGCCATTTGTTTAATCAACAAATAGAAACTAGCTTTAAGTGAATATTTAGTTTCTATAACTTCTTTAAGAACTTTACCAGAATAAAAATTATATAAATATTCTTTAAGGAAATTAAAAAGTTGATGTGATATCTCAGTTTCTAATTTTATATAGTTTTGCAATTTATTAGTAATTGTAAAATTTGCTAGTCAGTCAAATAATGGGTTGAGTTTAGGTCTTGCTACTTGATTATAAAATTATTCATTTGATTTTTGATGTTGTTGTTGTTTATTATTAATTGGTTCATCTATAATCAAATAAGAGGTGTAAGTTTGAAAATAAGAGGATTTTTGATAATACGTTGTTTTGGCTATTTGTTTTGTTGTTTTTGTTATATTTGTTTTAATAATCCTAAAAATTTTTAAAATTAAAATTTTTTCTTTTTTAGGTATTGTAATAAGCTTGATTACAAGAGCAGTTTGAATTTGTATAAGGGTAAGTGCTTTGATTTGAATAATGGATTTGAGTTTGAGTTTATGAATACATTTAAAGTGTACTAGAAATTCTTTAATAATGAGAATAGATTAGTTGAGAAGTAAGTATATATTATTTTCTAAGAAAGCATATAAGATGTTTTTATTTTGACAAATAATACAAGTATGTATATAATAAAAATATGTTTAGATTTTAGGAGTTTGTGTCAAACTAGATGAAGTTTCTTGTTGAGTTATAGAATAGCTTAAAAGAAATGTTAATAGAGAAACAGTAGTTGTTTTTGAAATTGGTGATTGAGAAATAATTTCTTTAAGTTGTCTAACTTGTTTAGATGTAATATCAATATCCATATATATAAATTTTTGAAAAGAGGAAAAAAAGATTGCTTGTCTAGATAGAATATTAAAATTATTAAAAGTAAAGAGAGTACAGAATTTTTGGCAATAATAGTAAACAATGATAGGTTGAGTAGGAGTTTTTAAGTAGTACAGTGATTTAGCAATATTGTATTTAAATAAATTAAATGCAAATAACATCATTTTAAGTTATATAAGTTGCACTTTACAAATTATTGTTTCATAATGATCACAGTATTTGTTATGAAAATAGTTAAGATCAAAATGATCTGGTTCTTGGGTAGTCAAAGTAGGCATTCTGTTTGATAGAGAAAAAAATACTATAGATATACTTAAAAATGAAAATTAATATTACTTAGTAAAATTTTTTATTATTAATTGTTAAAGTTTTTAATATATAAAATTATAATAGTGAGGGTTGACTTGCAAAGATATAAAATAATACTGTAGCTACTGCAACTGCTGCAGCTTTGTGTAATATTAGGTATAATTTTATATAATCTATATAGTACAAGGTGTGTCTGGTATGACAAGTGTGACTTAATGTAACAATTTAGTTATACATTTCAAAAAAGCCTTGTAATAGTATATAAAATCAAATTAATAAAAAAAAAACCAATAAAAAATTGTATACTATTTTAAGTAATATTAATTGGTTTATTATAAAAATAATTGTAGTAATGATTTAATGTTATATAAAAATTATGTAAGAGAAAAAAATTTAGAATAAATAAAAAAGAATTTTTTAAAGAGTTTACAAAAGAGTTAAAGTTGTTTTTTAAGATATCTTCATTAATATTAGGTCTATTGGGTTTATTTAAACCTTGTTTTGATTGGAGAAATGAGCTCTACAACTTTCTTAGAACTATAGAGTAGGTTGTGAAGCTAGTTATTAAGAAATAATTAAAAAAAGTTTAAAAGCTCAAAGACCATTATTGCAGTATTAAACTACAAGTTTGAGAGCTATCTCTTTAAACCTTTTAAAATATATATAAAATTAAGAGTTGAGCAAGTTTTTTTTTTTTTTTAATATTAAGGTGAGTACTTGCAATCCAGAATTTTATTGATAGTATATTTGGCTAATGATTGCTTTATAACCACAGGAGGCAACTATAGAGAGAGTGTACAACTAGCCACTTGTATAACTTTATTGTCTAATTTAAGTAGTTTGCCCAAAGGTTCTACACTAGTTGCCATATCTGAAACCCACTTGTAGGTTCCCTATTTAACCACTCTGTTTCCATATCGACCCATCTATCTCTGCCTACCAATGATTCTAGCTGATATCAGTGAAAATATGTCATGGCCACTAAGTTTTTAAAGCAGTTTTTTGGAACCTTTAACCTTGTACTAAACCTTCCAGAATCTTCTGTATTCTATTTTTACAGCTGACTTATATTACTATGGCCAAGACCAATACTGGCAGTCAGGGCATACTATTAAACTGCTATGCTCTTGTAGAGTTTATCCCAACCTTAGTACTAACTTTACAACATATCCTTACTACTTTGATATTCAATTCAAGTTCTACCAAGCTGCCATTCCAGATAGCCCAGAAAGGTAGGTCAAAACTATACACCTCTGGTTTACATGTTTGCTAGCATGTACCCTTTTTCTCTAGAACCTGGAAATTCCAGTGGCCTGGTTGGTTCATCTGGTCCTTTCTTAAAGATCAGCACATTTGCCCAGTTTCATAAGTTCTAGCTCCATTTCATAAGTCTAGTCTTTACAGTAGCAACATCGAAAGCTTGGGTTACCTCTTTACTTGGGTCTTTTAAGTAGGCTTTCATCTTTCTTCTATTGGTTCCTATAATTTACATGGCCACAAGGACTTATTGTAGGTTTGCACTGCTCGGTACTGGTTTGCATTCCTTCATGTAATCACAGACCTTGTCTCAAAGGACAATGTCATGTAACTGTTACACAAATGCCATATGACCTGCCAGTCATGCTAGTGTGATATAGATTACAGGTATCTTATCCCAACCAATTACAAGAGACAGTTAACTATAATACAAGAAGGATTTTCAAATTTTCTATTGACACTGAGATTTGAACTTTGAACCTGCCACTTGGGAGTTGACAACCTGACTACTTTACTAGGTCACTATATCCCTAGTTGAAAAAGTTTATTTAAAATACTAAAGTTAGTTATCTTAATAAAATAATCAGATATTAATGATTTTAGTACTGATAAATTTTTAGTTATTTTTGTGTAAAAATAATTTACAGAAAGAGTATTTTTACTAATATGACTTATTAAGATACTAACTATTATATTATTGCTATGATTATATTTTTTAATTTATTTGAATATAATGTTATTAATTCTGCAAACTATAACAAAAGTTTTTTTTGGATTTTAAATTAAAAAATAATAACTTTAACTATATTTTAACTATTCATAATATGTTAAAAAAATTAAAAAACAACTATAATAATTCTTAATATATTAAAAAATATCTGAACTAAATAATAGCATATTATATAATAAATATAAATAATATTACAAAATAATAATAATGTTATTTATATTATTTAAGTAGTAAATTGGAATATAAATATTTTTTTTTTGGTATTAAAGTGAGGCCTTGCTCATATCTTTATTAATAATTTTAACTGTATATTTTAGTACAAGAGTACTAAAATAAACTAAGATTGTTTGTAATAAAATAAAAATTACATATAAGAATAAGAGCTTAGACTAGTTTATCTGTGACCTAAACTGTGAATATATTTATAATATAAAAAAATTATAATTATAAATAAAATAAATATTATTTGAATTAAAAATATTTACTTTTTCTTCTAGAGTGAAATACATTATTATATACTTTTATTAATTTATAATGCATTAAATATCCTAAGGTAGGATGTAGTGACCTAATAAAATGATCAGGTTATCAACCTTTCAAGTAGTAGATTGAATATTCAAATCTTATTAACAGCTAAAATTAAATAATCACCTATATAATATTCATATTATGCTAACTGTTACTAATGATTAGATTAGAATATTTGTAATAGTAGGTATATTAGCATAACTGGCAGGTCATGGAACATTCATGTAACTTGTTATATAGAAGAATGCAAACCAATAAATCAGACAATACAAATATTAAATAAGCTTTGTAGTCATATAAATTTATTAAAAATAAGTAACAAAAAGTCCATTTAGAAAGACCTGAATAAAGAGATAATCAGATCTTTAACAGACTTATTGTAAAGACTAGTCTGAGGAAATAGATATCAAAGTTATAATACCTGATCATAGTAGTTAGACAGGCAAGAATCTCTAGGTTGGAAGTCTTAAGATACTATCAACTAGACTGCCAGAATAAACTAGAGAAAAAGAATATCGGGCTAATCTAATATTGATGGACTGGCAATAGTTCTACATAAACTATCTAAATTATAAGTTTGTTAAAAAGGCTAAACAAATAGCAGAAGTATACTAAAGTACTGGGTTATGCTGTAAAATAGATGCTGGGTCTGTGTGAACTCCACAAAGACACAGTACTTAAATAATATAACTCTTAACATAAGTGTTGGTTTTGCTATAGTGATATTTAAATCAGCTATAAAAATGAATACAGAAGGCTCTAGAGAATTTACTTTAAGGATAAATTAGTTCTAAGATTGAGATGATGATCTGAGCATTTGGGTATGACCCAATAAGTTAATACAGATTACAAGTTCAGAGGATTTAAAGTAAAACACCCAAGCAGAAATGTTAAATATAGCAATTAGTAAAGAATCTTTAAGCAGACTTTTTAAATAAATAATATAAAAAAGTCATATATATAACTAATTGTATTCTTTTCTGTAGTGGTTCATAGAATTATTTTACTAATAAGTTGTTAATAAAAGTCAAAAGATCAAAAAAATCACCTTAACACTAAAAAAATAAATAAATATCTTAATATATTACTTATACTTATTATTCTGTTTATACAAATTATAAGATTTATACTAATTATACTAATTATATCTTTGATTTTACTGATTTTTTTTAATATTGATAACCTTATATTAGACAAGTAATTAACATAATTACTAGTTAGTTACTGCATTACATCAGTTACCACTTTTATATACTTTAGAATTACAGTTCTATAACTTATAATTAGTAATAAAAAATGTCATATCTAATTTATTATATAATGTTCTGAATAATATGGGTTTATACATAAATTAGTATAAAATTTATAAAAATCTTGATAACAATCTATAAATCTCATACAAAATTCTGTATAAAATCCTATAGAAGATGTGTAAGATCTTTAGAAAAACTGCAATTTGTCTATTATTATTTACAATGTATATATTAAAAAATAAGTTTTGTGTATAATTTATTATGGTTACTTATAATTTAATGCAAACTAATTTAATAAAATATTGTAAACTTTAGAATTTTTATAATAATATTGTAAAATATAAAAAATAAGCACAACATTCTCTTTTCTTTCAATTTCCAATTATTATAATAGAAATAATTTGATTAAATATTTTATTATACTTCTGCTAATCTGAAATTGAAAAGGGTAAAGTAGAAAGTGTTGTGCTTATTCACAATATTTTATGGTAATTCAGGTATAAGTTAGCATGACTATAACCACATATTTGATAATTAAAATAGCAAATAAGTTCTATAAATAATTATTATATCAAAAATCAAGCAATTAAATACAATTACTAAACCTTAATTATTCCATGTTCCTATATGATTACATGACAAGAATTTATAGCTTATGATTACTACTTTAATCAATAAAAAAATCCAATTTTTAATAATGTTTTTATTTCTTAGTAAAGCTTGTTATTTACTCAGACTTAAAGCTGTTCAATATGATAGTATCGAGGCAGCTTTTGTCTCGAATCAGCCATAACTAGACATGTGACATGCCCTATTACAGTTACATGATGATGTGGCTTGGTATTTTTGATCATATTAGTAATGAATTAGACTAGTAAAATTATGTGGTAATAATTGCGTTAGTATTTGATCAGGGTAATTATGAGGTAATTTTTGCAATTGATAAATCAGTGGTAATATTGTCATATTGAATCTATTTGATTTCAGTATTTAAGCATTGTAATGAATAGAGTTAGAGATAATTCTATTTCTTTTGCGAACCCGACTTTTAGTCTGGCTTTGTCGATCCCTTTCCCCCAACCCC